ACTCTCTGAAATTCAAAATATTTCAATTCCTCTGAAACGTAAAGATAAAAACTTAGAATTGGCTGAAAATTTTAAGCTTAAATTCATTAAATGTGCTAATATTACCATTAATATTACAAAAGAATAATTTTTATTATAATTTGTTATTTTAATAAATAACTTGTTATTGTAGCATAAATAATAGTATAATCAATAGTATAATCAATAGTATAAAATAGTAGCTAATTTTAGTGCAAAATCTCCTAGGAACGGATAAATAAATACATATAAAATTTGCTACCCAGTAGGTATAACTATATTTGCATAAACGTGTAAATGGTGTCGATCAGGGGATAATAAATGTTAATTAATTAGCAAGATTAATTTTTTATATATTATAGCACATACCTAATGATCCGCCCAAATCTTTAATTATACAATCATTCAAATCTTCACTCTCACTTTCAAGAATTTCATTCAACTTTTTACTAGTATTTTCATCTAAATAATTCAATAAATAAATTAATTTCATATAAATAATTTGCAAGATTAATTTTTTTATATATTACTATAGTACACACCTAATGACCTTGGATCTCTAATTATATAATCATTCAAATCTGAATGACTTGAATGATATGCTTGTGAATCTTCACTATCAAGAATTTCATTCAATTTTTTACTAGTAAAATCAAGTAAGCGACTTTTATAACATGCTTTAGAATGAGATTTAGTAGCAAGATCATTATGCCCAATTGGTGCATTAATAAATTCCATAATGTTGCTTTTTAATTCTTCATTAATTCCATCATCAGAAGGACGGAAAATCCAATTCTTAATAGCATTGTTCACTTCTGATGTAGATGGCCTTTTTGATGGATCTTCATTCCAACATTTTTTCATTAAATCTATATAACATTGTGGAGTATTTTCAATAATTTTAGGACGTTCACCTTTACAAATACTTATACTAAGTTGAAGATCATGTGCTCTATTATTAAATGGTGGTACTCCAGATGTAAAATCCCACATAATCATAGAAAAACTATATATATCACTAGTTGGAGTATAAGATTTGCCTCTTAAAACTTCAGGAGCCATAAATGGTATAACACCATAAATATCATACTTTTTCAACAACGATTTTACAGGTTGACATAATCCTAAATCACTAATATAAATTTTATCCTTATTCTCATCATTATTATTAAAATATTGCCATCATGAAAATCACAATGAATAAGATTTTTTTCATGTATAATACTAAGTCCAGAAATAATTTCGTGCAACATAAATAATTTTTGATTCCAATTGTATTCGTTAAATTTTCTCTTAAATTACCTTTATTTGCATAATCCATTACTACCATATATTTTGAAGTATTTGGATCTTCTGTAAATCCATAAAAGTATATAATATCATTCGAACTAAAAACACTTGTATGATATTCCCACTAAAAAATAATAATAATTTATTAATATAAATAAATCTTAATTTAAATTAAAAATAACAAATAATCTATTATCATACTTCTTTTAAAAATTCATTTAAATTTTCATTTAAATTCTTATGGCATTTAAGAATTACTTCTTCATCTCCATTATTCATTAACCAAGTAGCTTTATATATAGTACCAAACCCTCCTTCATTAAAATATTCAACATTTTTAAATTTGTTATAAGGAATCCATTTTAATCCATTTCTAAGAATAAAATCATCTACAATTGCATTTTCACTTTTACCAAATCTATAAATTTAAATAGTCAAACTGATATTATAGCTTGTATTGTAATTGTAATTACACTAAAATAAATTATTACTTACTCTAAATTTAAATAAGAATTTAATGTAATATAAATCTTAGTTTTTGGATAATTATATATAATAACCTATAATTTACAACTTACCAACTAAAGTAACAGATATTTTTTTAAATGAAAGAATTTAGTTACAAATAAATATTATATAAAATATATAACAATAGAAATATAATATCTTACAAGCTATATCATAAATAATTTTTAAAATAAAGAAATTAGTTTAAATTATAGAAAATTTCTAAGTTTACATGGGGTGTTTGTACACGGGTCATATAAATATAATTTTTAATAGACTAATTTTTTGTTTTTTAATTTGAAATTGAATGCTACCAACATTATACTCTTTTACTTTTTATTCTTATTATATTACAGATAAATATGGGCGTGCGTCAGTTAAAAAGGGGGAAATCTACGTTTTCATAATTTTGAGAAAAATGAAATTAACTTATTTGCAAGAAAAAACATTTTGCTTTCGTGCGTCAGTTAAAAGCTGTCTCTTATACACATCTAGATGTGTATAAGAGACAGCCATTACTAGTATTGATTGTACAAATAGAAGAGTCGTAAATCATTCCTTACGAAAACGTACTGCCCAAAAATTAAATGATGAAGGGTTGGATCTTCAGGCTATTATGAATGTAACATTGCATAAATCTTTAGCAGGGTTAAATTTGTAAGTATCTTATTTTTCCAATTCATAATAATTTTTTATTTATTTAACTTTTATAATCACACTGTATTTTTAGGTATCGTTCACAAAATGAAATTCAAAAATTAGAAGTCGCGAAACTAACACTTCCAGGCGTACACAAGGTATTTTTCTTTTTCTAATATATTTATAATTTCTTTTTTAATTTACATAATATTTATTATATTAATNTTAGTTTAAATTATATGTAAATATTATATAAATAAATAATAATAGAATTAAATAAATAACTTACTCCCTGTATTATTTAATAATTTTTTAAATAAAGAAATTAGTTGGTTTAAATTATGCGTAAATATTATATAGATAAATAATAGAATTAAATAAATAACTTATAACTTACGATCTATTAAATAAAGAAATTAGTTAGTATAAATTATAATTAATAATAGAATTAAATAAATAACTTATGACTTACTAACTAAAATAAATTACAAAATAATTTTAAATAAAGAAATTAGATAGTTAAATTATATGTAAATATTATATTAATAAGTAATAATAGAATTAAATAAATAATTTACCAGCTATATTATTAAATAATTTTTTAAAGTTAGCTTAAATTATATGTATGTAAATATTATACAAATAAGTAATAATAGAATTAAATGAATAATTTACTCCCTATATTATTCAATAATTTTTAAATAAAGAAATTAGTTAGTATAAATTATATATAAAAATTATATAATAAGTAAATAATAGAATTAAAAAATAACTTACACCCTATATTATTTAATAATTTTTTAAATAAAAAATTAGTTAGTTTAAATTATATATAAATATTATATAAATGAGTAATAATAAAATTGACTAAATAACTTACACCCTATATATATTTAATAATTTTTAAATAAAAAATTGGTTAGTTTAAATTACTGTATATGTAAATATTATATAAATAAATAATAACAGAATTAAATAAATAACTTATAACTTACAATCTACATCAGGAAATTTGTTTAGGCTAATTTAGTGTAAAATTTCGAAATATTACACTAAATTACGCCTAAACAAATTTCCTGATGTCTTTTACTAATCGAAATTCATCAAGTGACATAATGAGGGCCAAAAATAATTTAATGCTGGCTAGGATAAAATCGGATAAGACTGTTTTATCAACATGACTTCAGTATATTGGTATCATGAAATTTATAATAGGTATATTTTAATAAAATCATTATAAGTGAATTTGGTTTAAAAAAAATTCGCTATTAGTTAAAATTGGGTTATCTCGAATCATTATATTGAGTTCTAGGTTATGGGATTAGAAATTAGTACAGTATATATTGCTTGACTAATTAGATGAAAAGCATTGCAGAATATTGAGTTTTGATTTTTGAAAATTATTAAAAGAATGGTTTTGCATGTTATTATATTTAACTCATTTTATTATTTAGTCAAGTGATCATATTAAAGCTTTATAGTTTAAAACACATAACTGTGGTTTTAAATTGATAATTTATTTAATAATTGAATAAGTTACAAATAGGGATGCCAACGGTCGGTTCGGTTCGGTTTCGGTTTTAAAACTGCAGTTTTCAACCAAAACCGAACCGACCGCAAAACCGACCGATAAAACTGAACTACAAAACCGATTACAAAAATACCGCAAAATCAAATAAAATAATGCCATAAAGTATCAATTATAACTTTTTGAATAATATTCTTTGAATTTATGTAATTATTTACAACAATAACGCCGATGTTGTGATTTTTTCAGAGAAACGAAAAATCACGTGATCAACGCGTAAATTCGATAATTTCAAAAATGAGAATATTATACATAAAAACACTAAAACAATAGTTTTTAATGGTATTCTCAATAAACAAAATCATTTTTTTTTTCCGGAATATATTAAAATTTACAATTAACCGATCGGTTTTTTGATCGGTTTTTTTTATATATAAAACTGACGGTTAACCGGTCGGTCTTGGACTGAAACCGAACCGATAACCGAACCGGTAAAAACCGGTTATGATCGGTTATAACCGAACTTTTGGCATCCCTAGTTACAAAAGAGCACAATTATAGGAAACCAATAAATATTCTAGCCTAATGTTTAAATAAATCAAAAAATAAAGAACAATTTCTGTTGTATGCATGATATCAAATATCACTTAAAAAGAGTAGTATACATTTTAAAAAAAAAATTTCACCAATGATTAATGAAATTTACCTTACTTATTTCACTTTCAAGAGTTTTCATTCAAGGTAATATTAAGCAAGCGATGAGATTCAATAGCAAGATTGTTATACCCAATCGGTACATTTATAAATTCCATAATGTTGCATTTTAATTCTTCATCAATATCTTCAGCTTTTGTTTTGTCAGGAAGAATAATCCACTCTTCAATAATATTTAAAACTTCTTTAGAAGATGGCCTTTTTAATTGATCTTCATTCCAACATTTTTTCATCAAATCTATATAACATTGTGGGGTATTCTCAACAATTTCAGGACGTTCACCTTTACAAATACTTATACTAAGCTGAAAATCATATTCTCTACCAACAAATGGTGGAACTCCAGATGTAAATTCCCACATAATCATAGAAAAACTATATATGTCACTAGCTTGAGTAAAAGGTTTAGATCTCAAAACTTCAGGTGCCATAAATGGTGTAAGACCAAAAATCTCATCTTTTTTCAAAAAAGATTTTACAGGTTGGCATAACTCAAAATCACTAATATAGATTCTATCTTCATCCTCTTTATCTTTATGAATAAAAATAATGAAATCTTGTAAACAACAATGAATAATATTTTGCTTATGTATTTCATTAATTCCGGAAATAATTTGGTATAATATATATAATTTTTGTTTCCAATTATATTTAATTATTTTTGTTAAATTTCCTCTTAAATTACCCTTATTTGCATAATCCATTATTCCCATATATTTCAAAGTATCTGGATTTTTCGTAAATCCATAAAGGTTAATAATATTACTTGAATCTAAACAACTTCCATGAAACTTAAACTATATAATAATAATAATAATATATTAGCATAAATAAATTATAATAAAAAAAAAAATATATGATATCATACTTCATTTAAAAATTCATTCGAATCTTCATTTAAATTCTTGTAACATTTAAGAGTTACTTCTTTATCTTCATTATTATTTAACCAAATAGCTTTGTATACAATACCAGATTTTCCTTTTGTATAATATTCAACATTTTTAAATTTATTATAAGGAATCCATTTTAAATTTTTTTCAAGAATAAATTCATCTATAATTTCATCTCCACTTTTTCCAAATCTACAAATTTAAAGAATTATAATTATATTATAGTTCGTATAATAAAGATTTGAAATTAAAAAATATTATTAATGCTTACTCTATAATTTAAATAGGGATTCAGTATAATTATAAATTTAGTTTATGTATAAATAAATGAATGTACAACTAAAATTTACAACTTACCAACTAAATAAAGTAAATCACCAGATATTTTTTTAAAATATAAAATTTAGTTAATTAAAGTTATAAATACTGTAAACATTGTATAATAATATATAATAATAGATATAACTAGTAATAGCTTACAATCTAAATAATCATCAAATAATTTTGTTTTAATTAGTTTAAATTATACGTAAATACTATAAAAATGTATAACAGATTACAGAAATTAAATAACTTACTCTCTATATTATTATTCCTACTCCTTATATTATTAATCTTTATATTATTACTTCCTATGATATCATTAAATAATTTTTTAAATAAAGAATTTGGTTAGTTGTAGTTATACGTAAGCTTTATAAATATTTAATAATAATATTAAATAATTTGTAACTTACTCCCTATATTGTTAAATCATTTTTTAAATAAAAGAACTTTGTCAATTTGAATTATATATACAGTAAATAACAGAAATGTAGACAACATGTAACTTACACCCTGTAAAATTATTAGTCATTAATTAGTGAATAAAATATTATTATAGAAGTTTTATACCGATAAAATTAAATATATTACTTACAATCTAAATATTTAAATAAAGAATATAGTTAGTTTAAATTGTATGTAAATATAAAATAAAAATGATGGAATTAAATAACTCACCATCGAAATATTTTAAAGCCTCATCTCTGAAATTAGGTTTATGTGAAGATTCTCCTATAAATGGCGAAGGCGGCGAAATACATAAATATAAATAAATAACATAAATATATAAAAAGTTACTAAATATAGTAGATGTTGAAAATCCCTAGTTAAACTTACTTCTTGAATTTACAATATCAGAAATGTTTAAATCGTTTAAATCATCATTATAATCAATGTTTGAATTTTTTATTTCATTAATATTAGACTGTGAGTATGGTAGCGAAGAAAAATCCTCAGTTTTTAATTGACTTAAAGTTTCATATACTTTTTCAATATCGGGTCTTAACTCTGGTTCGCTATCCCAACATTCCTGATAAAGTTGTTGATATTTTTGGGGTGTACCGCCAATTGGTTTTTCTCTAAGATTATTATAACTGATATGATAAGCTAGTATATCTCGTGAACGGTCGGAAAAAGGACATTTTCCGCTTGAAATCTCCCATAGCAAAACACCTAAACTATAAATATCAGACTTTTTATTTTTCTTATATTTGTCAGACTTGATACATTGTGGTTCAATATATTCAATTATTCCCATTTTATTAGCTATTGAATTAGTTGCAGCTTCTGCCAACTTTTTAGACAATCCAAGGTCAGCAATTGATAATTTTCCATTATTTACTAATATATTTTTTGAATGCTATAAAAACAATGAAATGATTAGATTGTTATCATAAACAAAATCACAAACAATAAAATAAGTACTCTTTTTACCAAGTCTCTATGAATTATTCCTTTAGAGTGCAAAAATTTCAATCCACAAGTAATATCCAATGCCATTTGAATTTTATCTTTCCATTCCAACGAAGTAAATTTATTTATCAAATAATCTCTTAAATTTCCTTCATTAGCGTATTCCAACACCAAAATATAGCTTCTATAAACTATTAAATAGGTTTAAAGTATTGTTAATAATTTTTATTTTTTTAAAAAAAAAAAAATTTTTTTAACGCTAACCTTTTGTTATCCCTAGAATATGATTGACATTTTGATGACAATCAACCTCATGAAGGAGTTCTAACTAAATGGTGAAATAAAAATAATTTCGTTTTTATATTTTACATATAAATTTAATAAAAAAAAGGATTCTTACTTCGTTGACAAACTCTTCATCAATTCTCTTGAGTTCATCTTCTTCAATGTTTGAATATTCATCAACAAAACTTTTTAGTGCGACTAATCCCGTATTAGCCAATTCTGCTTTATACACCCTACCGAAAGTTCCTCTACCAATTTCAACAATATTACTAAATTCATTATATTCAAAATAATGAATATATTTATCTTTTATCTTTTTATCAATCCATTTTGCCAACAAAGTCATTTTGTCATTAAAGTTTATATAATGCTGAAACTTTAATAAAAAAAAAATAAAAAAAAAAAAAAATTTCGGCGTTTTTGAAGTCAATTCACAACAGCTGATAAACCAGTTATTGAAGTACAAAGTACAAAATGGAAATTTTTTGCCCATTTTCGACATGGTTTGATGTCGATCATTTGAAAGCCACGCCGATCGCAATTTTAAACACGTGAGAAATTTTTGACACTGTAATAAATCATGTATATCGCTTCCATTTGTGGATAATGTCGACCAGCATTACATAGTGCCGGCCCTGGAGAAATGCGTAGAGCTAATAGTAAATGTGTAATGCTGTAATGCCGGAATTATTTAGTGAATTTAATAATTGTGAGGCGCAGTATTATTGAATGTTCCACGTGTAACATCCGTAACGATGTAAAACTATTCTTATGTTTATATTTAATTTTATATTTTTAGTATTGAAACTCCCGGATCATGAGTATAAACTGAGTCATATGTAATGTTTAGTATTACATAGTTCATTATATTTTATATTTACTTTTTCATCATAAGAAAAAGGCAAAAAGAATCGAAAAATAATATAATGGGTAAAATCATCTATTCTCTATAAAGTGGCTGTGTTATAATTTCAAAGTGCCACATTAATTAATTTTAAAGGTTTGATAGAACTTATTCATGAGGGGAGATTATCGAAGTTTAATTTTAGGATATAATTAGATAGAAAAATAGAAAGACCAAGCATGATTATTTTTGTATGGTATAGATATTCTATTATTGAATAAAGGATTATTTTTGTTAACGTTCAATGTGGTAACGACCCATACCACAGGATTGAGGGCATATTACCAGTATTTTGTGGATTAGATTTCACATTTTTTAATCTAATCATGATTCCCAATTTGGATAAAATAACAAAGTTATTTTTTTAAAAAGTAAATCACCATTTTTAATAATTTATTCTTTCTTTTTTTTCGTAAACTATATTTTAATTTATCATTTTCTCTTTTTGTAAGAAAAAAGTTCATCTCAGTTTTACAAAAAAAAAGAATTTTCATTTTTGACTTATCTTTTCCTCTTTTTGTAAAAAAAAATTATCTCAAAAAATTAATATCTTTATTCTTTCGTAAAAGAAAATTCCCAATATTTAATTAAAGTTACATTAAAATGATTAAAATTAGTTATAATCCATAATAAATTATGCACAAATAATATATAATTTCGTCAATTAAAATGATCAACACTCATGATACAATCGAATCATTTTAGTGAATTCAATTCATTAATTTCGATGGAGACGTTCTATACATTACACAATTCAAATTAATTAATACAGGGTAATCTAAATATCACAAAATTTTTTAGATTATAAATGTTAAATGATATTTATCTAACTGTTGATAATCTAAATACAAAATTCAGTTTTATTTTATTTTCAAAAAAGATTGTGGTATGGATATTAGAATATTAAGAAAAATACTATCTTGAATAATACAGATGGTCTCTTTCCTTGCTCGATCCTCCAGACAATTAAACTGATTCATGGTATTGTACTTATCATCAAGAAATTTATCTTTTACTATAATCTAATAAAAATTTTAATTTTAAATATAGTAATTTCCTTTTATAACAACAAGATTAATTACTATTAGTATTATTTAAAAAAAAATATTTTTTGGCTTGAACCGAAAAAAAAATAATTAAAAAATTTTTTTAGTGGTTTGAAAAAAAAAGTTCGAAAATAAAAATTTAATTAAATCTGTATAAATAATTCAAATTGTGTAACATTGAAACACATGATGTGTCTGCGCCTGATCTATTCCGCGTTTATTATGTGATTGGCTATCAAGTAATATATTTCCGGTTAATGAAAACATCAGGGATATGCAGTTTTTCCTTTAATGGTTAAATCAACTAAATTAATTTAATAATTTTTTTATTTATTAATTCTTTCCATTTTCCCGGTTTTATGAATCAGATTTTTATTAAACTTCTTATTCTTCCGGTCTTTGAAAATCGGTTTTTTTTATTAAATTTCTTTATTTGTCCATTTTTTTTAAAAAATTAATTTTCAATATCAAAATTTTATTTTTTTTGCTCATTCCAGTTTGTGTTGCTACGGTGAGCACCTTGTTTCTAATGTTTTTTATCATTATTTTTTTTTACTAATATTTTCTTTTTTCCTAATGGGGTTTTTTCTGTTCTTTTGCCTTTTAGGTTAGGATCGGCAAGTGTCGAGATATAATCGAAAAAAATATTTTTTATTTAAATATGTTTTATATAATTTTTTAGTTAGAATAAATATGATTTTTTAAAAAAGTAAATCTGAACACTATACCGGGGGATACCAGTATTCATGTGAAATTATAATCATTTTTTCATTTTTTTCATTTTCTACAACCTTTTTTTTTTTTAATTTTACTCTCATATCATGATTTTTTCATTCTTACATTTCTTTTTCAATTTCCGCGAATTATTATTCGTTTTTTTCATATCTTACAACTTTTTTTTCATTATTTACAATATACTCTTTTTGTGAATTTCGAATTGGTGTGACCGTCGATTAATTTCTATAATAATACTGATTACAAAAATAAAATCACGTTTTACTATAAATACTATGAATACGATCATTTGATCTGTGTAACGCTAAGCCACCATCATATAAACTTCACCTTTTATTTTTGTTATAGCTTATAAACCTATTCCTAAAGACCCGTTTCCTAAAACGATTCCTATGGATTTCAAAGTTTCTTAATAATTCCAATTTCCAACCAAATAACAGATAATACCTTTTCATTTTATTGTTATAAATTATAATTTCTAATTATATTTTCGTTTCTATCTATTTTTTTAATTGGTGTAAATAAGCTGTATTTTTTGTTTTTGTTGTTTTCGGTATTTTCGGTATTTTTTTTATAGATAAAATATATCACCTGATCGAAAACGGCGATAAAAAGAAATTAGAAAAAATTAGTATTGTTAAAAAAATTTATTATAAATTTTTTTTTTCTACATTTTCTTTAATAAATTTTTCGGTTGTTACTTATTTATGTAATAATAAATTTTACGTACATTATTTATGTAATAATATGTTGTTAATTAGTACAAACTATTTGCAAATTCACATCAACGCACATTTATAAATAAAGGAAGAACGTTTACAAATAATACGAAATATAAAGAATTTTGAAGAAAAAAGAATAATTATAATGAAGACAAACTAAACAATCTAAGATTTTATTTATCAGAATTTATGTCATAATCATCAAAAGTTGGATAAGCTAGAATCTTTATCTTCAAATTAAATTTATTTGGTACATTCATAGAATCAGTATTATTAATTTTTGAAATTATTACTTTATTATAAATTTAAAGATTATAGACAATTTCAAATTATAATTGGAATAACGGATGATTTTTTAGCATTATTCACAAATTTCGTAATTCCTTTCATCTCATTAAAGATGAATCCTATAGAACATAATAAATGTATCATGAACATGAAAGATGATATTATGAGCTCTCTAATAGCTGCTATTATATATTATGGTATTTGTTTTTCATATCGAGCTATAATAATTAAGCAAGCATCATTTAAAATGTCAAATTAGAATATACTTTCATTTTAATTGAGCGATCATAATATGTTACTGGCTAACTGCTAAGATATTGTGTTTATTCAAGTATAGATGTTTAGAATACTGGTATTTAATTAACGCGGTTTATTTCATATTAACAATTTTTGGAATAATTATGTCGTTAAATCTTTTATATTATTAAAATTTTCTTAAATCATTTAGATAAGTATTACTAAGTCTTTACCCATTCATATTTGTTTATTTTACGCTTTCGTAAATACTATTCACTATTGGACCTTATATTAAAAAACTCATTCTATTTTGTGTAACATATAGTTTAGCTCGTTTAGCAATGAATTTTGAACCTGAGAAAGATTATTTGTCTGGAGAGGAAACATCTGGAGGGAATATTTGAAATTTTGAAAAGATGGAAATCTAACTGGAATTTTATAGGTACAAAAGAAAATATAATTGAAAGACAAATAATGTGAGAAATGTGATAAATGTAATGTAATTAGAATAAGAGAATTAATAGAAGAGAAGAAATAAATGAAAATAATGTTGAAGAAGAATTAAATGATATAGTTTATAAATTAAAGTGAAGATATTAAAAAGAATATATTTCAAGCAAATAAAAGAAGAAATTTATAAAATAAAATTTGAGAAGAACAATTAAATAAATTAAATGAGATAAAATTTAAAACGAGAAGTATAAAAGATGATATGGATTATGTTCATAATATATTTAATAAGATTTTTTTAAAAAAGTAATACAGTATTTTAGCGTTGTATTTATTTATTTCCAGAAGAGATGGTTCATTTCTTGAAGTTAAAGGAAGGAAAAAGAAAAGAAATATAACATTTAGACATTTAAATAATAAATAATGAATTAATTAGTATATTATTAGCATATTGTAGATTAAGAACATTATAGATTAAGAACATTATTGTATTTTATTTATTAAAGATAATTTTTATGATATTATATTTCAAATATTATACTAAAACTCCTAGGAATTACGCGCAAAATATCAAAAGATATGTTAATAATATTAAATGCGGTGAAAGAATTCTACAAATAGGTTCTTAAGTTCGTGAATTGAAGCATTTTGGTATCTCTTATTCTGAATATTTCAAGGTCACATTCGTTCAGAAAATGAATACGACTCCGTTTGTGACGAAGTTGTGCATAAATTTAGGAATTTAGGAAGTTGCGTGAATTTACTTCGTACCACTTGAAAATATACGAGATGGGGACGGCTTTATCGGTTCAGTTTCGGTTCAATGAACCAGAACGAGTCGAACTGAGCCGACTTGGTAGAACCGACTCTTCAAATTCGTTGGTGATATTCTTAAATCAAAAAAAAAAAATAAAAACCTAGCGTAAAATTTCTACCAATAAAATCCTGCATTGTGACCCATGTAACATATTCCAGATGCGATGATCTTTATTTCTTAAAACACGGATTTTTTTATTTTAAAAAACACTGATTAAAAAAACGAATTTTTTTATAACACATTTTTCTGAATTTTTTTACGAACTTTTTTATTTAAAAAGCGAACCGAAAGATTTTTATGTCAATATAGCTATATAGCGCTTTTATTGCTTTTTTTATTCATAACATGGTATTTGACGATCATATCACGTTCAAATTTTAATTTTATTTTATTCTAATTATGGAATTGTAAGTTGCAACAAGTGAAAGGTTCAAGTCAACTCAAGTCGGTTCAAGTCGGTTTAAGTCAGCCTGAAACTGAACCGAGCTGAGACCGTAAGCCGACTCCAAAACCGTGCTTGAGTCACTTCTTCGTGGAATTTCCCATCCCTACCTATATATCACACTTTTGATTATCAATATATATTACTCTTCAATAAATTGAAACTTAACTCGTTAAATTTTTCTGAATTAGATAGAATGTAAAAGTAATTACTTTTGAATAATTATTCTATGAATTATATTTATCACTCTTTTATAAAAAATAAATAAATAAATGTACAAAAAATACATTAATTCTTAAGGTATGGATTTTCTAATATTTGTGTAATACTGGGTCTTTTGCTATCGTTTTCAGCTATCATACACTTAACTAAAATAGAGACCTGCTCATCGTCAATATCTTCGCAAACTTTAGTTAAATTTAATTGTTCTAATTGTTTCTCGGAATTATACAATAAATGGGTTTTATTCAAAAAATAAAATATACAACCTAAACTAAAAATATCTATACTTTGTTTTACTAATAAAGTTTCTGGGTGATCTTTAGTAGTATAATACGTGGAAGAGGTAGTAGAAGAGTATGAAGGTGAGTATGATGAATGTGACGCTGATGATGATACGATTTGTTGAAAAAAGAGTAGTTCTGGTGATGTAAACCCTAATTGTAATGGCTGATTATATTTATCGGAGTGAATATTATCACCAGCATTTTTTGAATATTCAAAGTCACATAATTGTATTTTGTGAATCTTTTGATCCTTACATATAATATTAGAAGGATTCAAATCCATATGCTATATTTAAAAAATGATAAATTAGAAAAATTGAGAATAATGAGAATAATTAAATAATTTAAATTTGAATTTACTTACTACTACACCTTTATTATGACACCACTCTACAGCTTTACAAGTACCCAAAAGTACACTTTTTATATGTGCTTCATTATCACAGATATTATTTGCGATTTCATCTAAAGATTTTCCGAAATACCTCGTAATTATGAAGTATTTTTGTCCTTCAGCCGGATTCACAGTTATTTCCTCCAACTTTACGGTGTATTTCGACGTAAGAGCTTTCAAAAAATGAATTTCATTTTCCCACCTTGAACGAGATTTATAAAATTTAACTACTATTTTATCTGAGGTGACTATATGTCGACCCAGATATACTTTATTATGCTTTGACTTTGATATTGGAGAAATTAATTCATATCTATTACATATATATGATGATAATGAATTTGAATTGTCGTTGTTAATTGTGCGTGTGTTAGGATAGATTGTATTAGGTATTGGTGGTAGTTCTTTATCTTGTGGTATATTTGGGAGAATGTTTTGTTTAGTACTTTGATATAAGTCGCTTTGGAACTTTCCATCACAATCCTCGTGAATAAAAGATCCATTTTGATAATCTTGTAATGAAGGTGACACCCCACTTCCATTATTAACATTATAATAAGGTTCCCCGTGACTTAAATTCTTGTTTACTATTTGTTGACTGGTTGCTTTAATAAATACTAAAGTTATGTAGAATATAACAAAAATGGTTAACCGAAATATATGATAACTTATGAAAAAAAAAATTACTCGAAATACCTTTATCATTTGGTTCAAGAAGTGATTGACTTGTAATAGAATCATCATTTCGAATATTAACGGAAACTTCATTTTTATTGCTTTCATTAAATAAATTTCTATTGAAATTTTTCTCACTTAAAATATGTCCTATTAGATCTAAAGGACATTCCCTTTCTTTGGCATTATCAACTTTCAAACTTTTGTAATTTGTTGATAGAATACATATGCGTAAATCTACTTCATTTGTTACACAAGCATTATCTTCATGATCGGAATCACTATTAGACGAACTTGCATTTGATTGAATTTTACAAGCTGATTCAATTTGAACGTTAATAGATCTTTCTTTCCATTCAACTAACTTAACAATATTATTATTTTCATAACTTACTGACGAATGATTTGCATGCGCGAAAAAAGTATATCCTTTGTGTAAAGTAAAGGAAGTTTCAATAGGATCATAGTTAAACTCATTAGGTTGCAATTTAATAGATTTTTTAATATAATCAACCTGCAATTCTCGATTATTTGGACTAAATACAGATACCTGGGAGGGGTTTCCAATAACAACCCATGAAACATAACATTTTGTTATATCAATACTTGTTTCTTCTAATTTTTTTATTATTGCATAAAATCCATTGAAGTCATATAATCCGAAATTAATATAAATTTCTTCTAATTTTGTATTAGTCCCTGAAATGATTAATCCAAATACTTCATAATCTTCACTTTCTAACGATAATCCAAAATTTATGCGTTTGTAGTTCTCATCATTATCATTATTTAAGCCAGTTAAATCAGTAATTCCCGTTATTATAATTTTGTAATTATTTATTAATATATCATTTATTTTTCTTTGTTGATTTTCTTTAAGAATTTTATAGAGAGGAATGATATTGTCGAATTTAGTAATTTCCAAATGATTATTCGTATTTTGAATCCAATCATGTAAATCATTTGTTTCAATAATTCTTCCCTTTCGTGTTAAAAGACGTGAAATATCCAAACTATTTAATGATTCAAGCATTTCATCAATATCATCGACATCATCAACATCATCAGATGAAGAGAGATTTGGTAAAATATTTCTAAGAGACCCTCCCAAGATAATTCTTTGTGAAAATAGATGACCGTATTCATTAAATACATCTTGTAAAGCTTTCAATGGTTTCATACTATTGAGAGCTTCCTCTATAACTTGCTCAAATATTTTTGTAGGTTTTACATTATCCATATTTAAGAGAATTTCATATTTCTCAGATTTGACTATAACATGATCATACCCCTCATAATTATTAACATTATTTTTAACAAGTGGAAAAGTGGAAAGCCCATAATTTTTAGCATCACTTTTAACGAGTGGACGAACAGAAGGCTCATCATTAACATTACTTTTAATAAGTGGAAGAGAAGAAAGCTCATGATTATTAATATTACTTTTAATAAGTGGAAGAGTAGAAAGCTCAAAATTATTAACATTATTTTCAATAAGTGGAAAAGTAGAAGGCTCATGATTATTAACATTATTTTCAATAAGTGGAAGCTCACAATCGTTAGCATTATTTTTAATAGGTGGGAAAATGCTGGGATGTTCATTTGGAAAAATATTATTGGAGACTAAAGCAAGCTCAAAATTTGTTGACGGCTTAATAATTTTCAAATAAGATTTATTACAATGATTGACTTCAGGAATTTTAACAATGTTAATAGGAATTTTCCTGCTAATTTTTATTTTGTCATTTTTATTAATTATTAATCCCCGAAAAAGATTAAAATCTCTGGTCCAACTCATTAAATTATCATTCACAGCATCTCCAACCCACTCTTCTAAGCTCAATTTTTCTCTAAAATTAGCGATTCCAGGTTGCTTTTCTTTAAGAGTTTCAAGGCTTTCATCTACCAATGATGTATTGTGTTTCAATCGAGAAATGAGGATGAGGTCATCATAAGAAATTATATTAACTATTTTGTTACTATTCAAATTATTCATCCAATTGGTCAATTCTTCACGGGTATTTAATTTTTTCCCATCCGATGTTACTAATTTTGGTAAAAGATCCAGAGTGACTAATTCGCTAAATTGGATTTCTGTTGAATATTTAACTGAATTATATACACAGAGCAAATAAAACTTTAAAATATTGGCTTGTACCGTAGTTGCTAATTTAAAATTCTCAATAAATAATCGATCCCCAGCTAAGAATCTTCTTGCAAGAAAATCACCATGCAATTTATGTAATTTCTTTTTATCATTTGTACATTCTATAAAGGATTCTAACAAATTGCCCTTATAAATGATTTCGGCAACTGGAAAATTAATGCATGTGTCTAAACTGGTATTTTTAAAATTAACATATGTGTATACTAAAGGTTGTCCTTTATATAAATTCACTTCTAATTCTCCGTCCTCAGCAATAACTGCTTGTACGCTTGGTTCTCCATTTAAAACTAAACCATGATTCAACTTGAATTGTTTAATTATTTGTTGCGTTGAACAATTAAATAATTCCAGAGTAATTTTTGCAGCATGTGATGGTGATGGTTGTTCACTAGTAAATGAAGATAATTGAGATAACTGTAATTTTATTCGAGATAAAATTTCGTAAACTTCATTAATTTCATGTCTCATATTGGGATCATCCTGCCAGCACTTTTGATAAAGTTGTAAATATTCCGAAGGTATAAAAATAATTGGTTTCTCTCTCTCACCATTTATAAGTTTATTCTTTACTTGAGCTAAATCAAATTCCTTTTGTATATACTCAAAAAGGGGAAAACGACCACTCGACAATTCCCATAAAAGAACGCCTAAGCTATAAATATCAGATTTCATATCTAGTTCATAACTTGGATTACGAAGATACTGAGGCTCAACATAAGCTATATTTTCGGATGTAAGTTCCACCGTTTGTCTGAGTAATCTTAAATCCGTTATTATTATTATACCATTATTAACCAATACGTTGCGCGCATGCTTATTGATTAAATAATAAATTAGTTAAGGCGTTAGACGTTAGATAACTCAAGAATTAAAATCAATAAAATTCTATTTACCAAATTACCATGAGTTATTTTTTTGGAATGTAAGCACATTAATCCACGAGTAATATCAAGTGCTATTTGTAATTTGTCATACCATTCCAATTTATTGATTTTCAAATAATCCCTTAAACTTCCTTCGTTGGCATATTCCAATACTGATAAATAATTGCCATTTGAGTCTAATTATTGTTAAAAAATTAAATGTGGTCAATAAGTGATAATTAGGTTGTAAAAAATATCAATATTTATTGTATTATTAGATTTAAAGACGGACTTTTTGTTAACCCGAGAAAGCGATTGATATTTGAATGATCAATTTTACGTAAAGCTTTTAACTGTATTGTAAAAAAAAAAAAAAAAAAAATTTATTTAAACAATTTATTCCTCTTTATAATTAAAATTAATAGTATTCATACCTTGGAAATAAATTCTCTAAAATCACCTTCACTAATCTGTGAATTATTCAAAATTTTTAATACGACGGTAATTCTTCTCTTTTCCCAATTTGCTTTTAAAGTTCCATGGATTTTTTTGTCAATTTTTTCTAAATTTCTAAATTCATTATAATCAAAGCAATCAATATCTTCTTTATTTACCCTTTCAACAATCAATTCTTTTAAAAATTTCATTATGAACAAGAATTTTATTTATGATCGGCACCTGAAAAAAAAAAATAAATAGGTAACAAGAGATCGGCACTCATTTACTATTAGGCAGAATTACGTCCAAAAAGCAAAGATCTACACATTATTGACTGCACAAACTCCGCCTAACCTATTGTGAAACATTTACCGCAGATTCTTTTTTATTTTACTAAATCAGGAATGCAATATAAATATGTAACCGAAGCACTATAAGCCGGAACATTTGTTTAGAATGTCTTTGGAAAAAATTATAGTCTTCATTAAAATTGTAGAAAATTCGGCATCATTACAAAGTCCTATATTAAGAAAATTAAATCAAAATGATCGTTTATCCAAAATTCGTAAAGAACTTGAAAATAGTGTCATTGATGATATGCTATTATTTTCAAAAAAAGTAAACGACGAATTCAGTGTGTTGGAATATGAGGAAGAAGAAAATTTTTATCTAAAAGATGTTATAGATGACCAAAATATTTTATATTTAAAACGAGTTTATTGGAAATTTTTGAGTAATCAACTCAAACTAGATTATGGTAGAATTATGAGCTTTGATGGAATTAAAATAGCTAATAAACAAGCATATTCAATAAATAAATGTGAACTGGATGAAATTGATAGTTATAAAAAAGGTCAACTTGAATTTGAATCAAAAGAAGACTGGATAAAAAAGACTAATTTATTTGTTGATGTCGATGGGATTAACATAACGGATTTTGCGAAGTTAGGGTTATCAGTCAGAAGTTTACGTGATAAAAGTTTTAATAATGAAGTTATGTCAGCTTATAAATATATTGAAATTGGTAAAGTATCATTGAAATTCAACAAAGAGGATTTAAAATTGACTGAAGAATTTAAAAATGATGTGGTTAATGCTATAAAATCTAAAAATTCTGAAGAAGGATTTGAGAAAATTACCGATGATTATGGTCAATTTATTCCAACCGAAGTTATTTTGGGAGGGAGAATTTATTTCAAAGATATTAAAAAGTTGTTAGCCAACTCCGCAGATACATCTAATGATGCTTCTGTAAACATAGGTATCGGATCTTCAAATGCCAATGTAGGGTTTAATTTTAATAATTCAGAAACAACATCAAAATTTTATAATTTTAATCATATAAAATTACTTGGAGGAAAGCATCCTGATGATGAAAATTTTGATGAAAAAGCTTGGATTGATTCTTTGAAGGATTATCAAAATTGGAATTGTATCGAATTCAAAAATCCCATTAGCATTTTTCAACTATTATCATTTGATGATGATTTACCAAATTTACCAGATGATTTACCTGATAATTTACCTAATGATTTACAAGATTCACGTAAAACAATCTACGAATCTCTTGGAAATAAAATTCTTTATACCAGTACTGAGGGATGTGAATATTTTTTAAATAAACCCGGAAGGTTCCGAACTTTCGAACTGAAGAATATTCCACGAAATATCTTACAAATTGTTTATGACAAAAAAGCCGATATCTATGCAACAATTTATGATACCAATGAAAATTCAAAAAATGTTTTTTTTAATTGTAAAATCTTAAGAGAACCAGGTGCAAAACCAAGTATTATAATTCACGGTATACAAAAAGAATTTAAGCAATGTAAATATAAATTAAAAATTAAGATAATGATAATTGGATATGATACAGATTTTAATCCCATACTTTCAGATACAAGTGTTGAATTAATTAAAAATGTTTATGATCCACAAAACTCTTGTGAATTTTATAGTATACCATTAAAACAAAAACTTGATTCAATGCTGGAAAAAAATATTCCTTTCTTTGGAATTCCTGTATTAGAAAATTTTGATTTAAGTAAGTCCCTCATCATAGGGCATAATTTTCGTATTGTTGATGGCGAATATAAAATAGATATTTTTTCTTATTGTTTAGAAAAAAAACGTTACGTTAATTTACCCAAAGTTACTTTTTGCACATTCATTATTTCTAATTATCCTACTTCTGATTCTTATGAATCATTTCCTTTTAATTTCAAATTATTGAAAACTCCATTTGTTGATCTTAATACTAGTAGTATAAATCCAAAATGTGTTAGTTTATATTTCTCAAAAAATAATGATTATAAACCAATTTTTTTGAATCAAAAAATTAACCAAATTAAGGTAAGATATCTTGATTGTAAATGTAAGAGAACTTGCTTTATTTGTAAGCATAAAAAAGTTAAAATATCAAAAAACGAAGTTGAATGTATATTGTTTGATCATAAGGTAATATTTGATTGCTGATTTGTTTATTTTTAATAATATTTTTACTTATTTAAATTGTTTATTATTAATAATTATTAGGAATGAATAAACATGTAGTTGAAATGAATGTATTTTAGGATTGGTTCAAATTATCGTAACATTAGTATTATGCAGGTCAACAAGAATTAGAAGGTCATCATGTGTGAAAATTTTATATATTTATGTATTATGTATTTTTGTACAGAATATTTATCAATAAAGAGATTCAGGGATTTGATTCGAAAACACTTTACGTAAAATAATTGTCATTTATCATGATTGTCTGTATAGCTACATGATGTTCCCAAACCATTTTCTTCATAAAAGTAGAATACAAAACATTTACCTCGTTGATCTACATTTTCATATTATAATTCTTATTTAGTGTACTAAATCGCGTGATAAAAAAACTTATATGTATGAACAAGTTAACATTAAACATGGCAGGGAGCTATAGTCATAGTATAATTAGAACTGTAATAATTCTGACTTTTTTTTTAATTAAGTTGGTTTATACTACCATACAGTATCATAATTATTATGATAAATAGTTTTTAAGATTTAAAGAGAATTTCTAAATTTTAACTGGTGGAAAAATTACTGGTAGATCATGTGATTGTGTATTAAATATTCATGTGATTTATTATGATGATGCAATTTCATTTGGCTCGCTTCGCTCGCCGGGCTTTTCTAGCCAAACCATAACTTTCACTTTATTTGCAAAATTTTTGATTATATTTAACATATCTATAAAAAAAAATGAGAAATTACTCTTAACTAGCTATTAACATAATTTTTTTCTCATTTGGTAAAGGATGATCATTTTCGGTTTATTTTGCTTGTTAATCATTTTTGGCTTAGTTATTTCACTTGTTAATCATTTTAAGGTTAATTATCTTGATTGTTGTTTATTTTTTGGTTTAAAAATAAAAAAATATATATATC